GAGAACTTGCACAATTGGTGGCTGACTAAATACTTTTTTGCCCCACTGTATAATTGGGTGTGTGTACACATGCAGAAACACACAAATATATATCTTACATGCACAAAGTTTTATATACATTTGTATAGATAGGCAGACACAAGGTTAAAGTATCAACATGCAGATACAGAACAAGCAGCTCAAATACATTTCCCTTGTTCCATAACACGCACTAGTAGGTTCTAGACACCCATTTATCAACAGTGTTGAAATGGCAGAGTGGTTAAGATCTTTGCTTAGCACACTGAAGATTGCAGTTTGAAACTTGATAGGAACATGTCAAGGTTTTTTGTTTTGTTTTGTTTTTTGTTTTGTACAACATTTCTTTTCCTGATTAGGTGGTTCTCCCCCCCCTGCAGCTTTTTAAAACATTAAGTCTAGGGGCTTACTGTTTTAGCAATTTAGCAATAAAACCACTTGGGATGGAAGTTTTACCTCCAGCTCTTAGATAGCTCAGCCTTTTTTTTTTTTTAAGTATACAGTAGAAGAATTGGGTTGCAGCTTCCAGTGTGGGTGAAAATTAGAATTATCCTGACATGCAGTTCTAACTAATGGGGGTTTATTCTAAAGCATCTTTTATCTGGATTAATCCAAAAAAAGACTTAGGTTAGTCAACAAGAAAACGTTCACCCACTTACATTTTCTGAACATCCTCCCCGCCCTGGCTTGCTACAGGAATCAATGGGCTTGCAGGAAAACCCATCCCCTTCATATCCATCAAGACAGACACACCTAGAAGATAGGCAGAGAGAGCAGCTAATTAAAGTTGGGTTGCCTACTAATTGCATACTCATTCAGATTAAAGAAATTACAAGAAAATCTCATTTTAATGGACTAATTGGGGAAGGCATGTCTGTTATTCATGAATGTCCAATAAATCAGACAGTATGTTATCATGCTAATTTATGACACTTAAGTGATGACATCATCATGCAAATGATGTCATTTGCAATAGATTGTGTCATTTGCATATTTTATTATATGCGCATAATGACATCACTATGCGAATGCCAGATATAGCAGTGGAATTTGATCCATTGTATGCAAAGGTCCCCTAAACTGAGGTTTCACAATAGTTTCAAATGTCTGGAATCATTCAGAGTACCTGTATCTTATGATTTATTAAAACACAATTAGGTGGGTTCATATGATATTCTAAGATAATATATTATGGCTTAGCATGATGTAAAAATCAAAACAATACTGTAGCTATGTTCCCTTTGATCCAAGGAATAGTGTCGTCTTCTCTTCTTTTCCTCATCTAAAAATCATTCACAAAACCCTTTTTCATCAAGGGGGAAAAGTAATAAAATTGGGCAATCCTAAGCATTTCTACTCTAGAATACATCCCATTGAATTCAGTGGGTCATACTCCAAAGAAGGTTGTTTAGGAACATCCAGATGAAATTAATGCATGGTTCTGTTGCATTCCCCAATTTTACCAAAGTTGCTTTTCAAAGGATAGAAGGATGTATTACATTTTTATGCCTTAAAGCTTCCATAAACTTCTTTTAGGGAAGAGATTAAACATGAATGCTCTGGCTGCAGAGACTTTTTCAATGGTAATTTATGGCTTTCCCCATTCAAACTGATTAAGGATTCCAATTCCAGACCCACACTACAGAGTACTCACCTCACAGTGTCATTCAGACTACAGGTTGCATGGACATGGCAGTTGAGTGTGGCATCAACAGATTCACAACTGTGAGAGTGTGTGTCACATAATTCCCCAGTGTAGCCAGCTGCACATGTCCCTGGGTGGCACACCCCCCTGCTTCCTGGTCTGTTGTCACAAATTCCATGGACACAGCCACAATCTTCCATTATGGATAGAGAAGGAAGAGAGAACTTAATCAACATTATGACATTCAGATTTTAATGATGGGAGTTCTTGAATACCTTTAATGAAATTTAATTCATGTGATGGCTTGAGGCTCCCTTTCATCTTTGTTGAGCTGACCATAAAAGATTGAGGATTAGTGTGGGCCAAAATATTGTATAAAAGGAGGTCACGTATGGCACTCATTAGGGAAGGGCAGCAAATTATTTAATTGTACATTGTTATTTTATTTGCTTTTAAATCCAAGCAGAGAAAGCTTCTGGCACCTTTTCCTTTTCTCTCCAGCACCAGAATAAATTTACCAGGCCTGGATATTATGGACTTGGGTGTAGAAGGAAGGGTGTCCTTTCTAGCTCTGCTTCAAGCAGCAAAATATCTCCCCTTGGCTCAGAGCCTTCCAGCTTGATTTGCGTCCCAGACCTTCACTGCAGTTCTCCCCGTGCTTGTTTGGGCTTGAGCAGATGTGGCAGGCAATTCCTTTGAAGCCATCATGGCAGCTGCACTGACCATTTCCATGAATCCCGTCATTACACTAAGAGGAAAACCAAATGCCAATGGGCTGTTACAGGAGACAATTTGCTCTTTCTATCAGCTTACTACAAGATCATTTTCCTGACTGAATGAAATCTCACTCATAAATTACTATGTATTCTTAATGTAGCTATATATATTAAATTCTGGGCAAGATCAAGGAAGCAGAAGCTACACAGATTTCAGAAAAGGATCTTTAATGCTTGTCTGGGATAAATATAGAATCTTGGAAATATAATTATAAAATTATATAATATAATATTATATAAGAATTTCCCACTCTCATTTATAGCAAATTCATCAAGGCAGAGTCTCTTTGAATGCTTTACAATGCCTCTTCCCAGATTTCTCTTCACCTGGGCTAAGGTGCTGTTTATGAGATAAGCTGTCAACTGACTCATCGGCTACTCTTTCTTGATTGTTTACGTCTGTGCTCTCATTCATTCCTTTCCCAGCCTCCCATCTCTCACACACTTACGTTTCCTTTGTTGTAGCATGGATTGCTATATCCACCAGGACATGGGGTGCAGGAAGGACCAAAGAATCCTTTGCAGCATCCAGTTATCTTTTAAATAAATAAACAACAGTTAAACATGTGTTCATTGTGCCATTCTTCTTCCATTATCAAGGCATAGCTACACCTTCCCTCTGCCCCATCACCCAAGAGAGAGACTCAAGAGAAGAAAAGTCTTGTTTTTGCTCTTCTTTATTTTGCCTTAATAAAGAGGCCCATATTCTTTATCAAAAGGTTGTTTAAATAACAAAGTGATCTTTTGTCTGGGCAGGGAGGAAAACAAGTGAGAAAGTATTGGCCCAGAATCAGCCTCTGGTACTCTCTGAATCTGTGAACTAACCTCTGGCAAAACTCAAGGCAGGTATCCCAAATTCTTTGATGATACCACATACATGCTATGTGGTAAAGATGGTGGCTGTGATGGTGCAACTGAAGTTTTGCTTATTTTTACTGTGCAATGCACACCCTGCAGATACCCCTGATCTTGGGAGGTAGGGAGGGGAGAACTTCCTTTTGCTGTGGTTTTTGTATGTATAAATATGTGTTTTGTGTGTGTGTGTGTGTATCTGTGAGAGAGAGAGAGAGAGTATGCATTTATCTGAATGGTAAAGAGTTGAATCCTTATATATCCAAAGCAGCTTCAGCCACACAAAATAGAAACAGGTGAACAGACTTAATCTTTGTATAAGTTTTTGAAAAATACATTTAGGAGAGGGGTGAAAAACCTTTATGTTGCAAACCAGTTACAGGCAAATGAGGACTGACAGTGGGCACAAAA